CTTAACCCGGTCTTTCTGTCCCTATGGCTTAAACTTATACGAGGTGACTAATCAGCTGAGTCTGAGAAAGAAAAAAAAAACTAAAGGGGGTAATTTTGGGATGAATTGGGAAGGTCAATACAAATGAGGAAATTTCTTTTCTATTGCCTCTCTCCTTGACTGCAGCACAAAATGAGTTATCATTTTTTGCGACTTCTATTTCGCCCTATTCCGCTGCACTCCGTGACTATTTTGCCGCTGAATGTGCATGTCGGGGTAAAACCCCTTTCTTTCCGCCGTTTAGACAGCCCACGTGAGTGATGCGTGGCTGGAAAAAAAAAGCAACACAGGAGTGAACGTTTAAGCGGTACTTTTTCGAGGCGAGTTAAAAATGCGCTTTCCTATGAAGAGGCGTGCTTGGGCACCAGCGATTGACGTGGAGGAGTAATTGCATGGACGTATATTTGCATGTTTGTCTATCTCCGTGCTTACACGTACTTGCTTATACGGACGTGCTTCTATGCGCGTAATCCTGCTCTCCCGTGTGCCTCCCTTTCGAGCGCAGAGAACGGTCCCGCCAGTCCCCAATCGTCGCCACCACTGCACAAGAACAAAAAAAATAAAAAAAAAAAAAAAAAAAAAACAGAGCTATTTTTTTACCCTAGAATAGGATGTAAAAATGAATATGTCTGAAACGAAGCCGTCCTTGAGGTACTCCTCGAAAAATAGTTTTTCTTACGAGAAGGAGATATCCTCTACAAGTAGGGTGCTGAGGCGAATGCGTCTTTTTTTTTTCCCTACTCTGTCGTTGTTTTTCCATCCTGTTTGTAAAAAAAAAAAAAAAAAAACACCTGTGAGGCGGAATGGGCATTTTAGTATCATCCTTTGGGAAGAATGGACACTTGGCCATGACCCGTCGGGTAAAAAAGTAAAAGAGTGTGGTGGCTCCATCTCCTCCTTCCCCCATTTCACAGCCCTCCAAATAAGCAGAAATCGGGATGAGATAATAAAGAACAAGGTGTACTGTCCGATCGAGCTGAAAAATGTGTACAAGTTGCTGGAGGATAGCGACCAGCTGCTGAGGAATGTAATGCGTTGATGCGTTCATGCTGTGGTGGCGTAGTGGCGTATTGGCTCCCTGTGTGGACGCCGTAGTTTCTTCTTATGTGCAGGCAGGAGTGGTGAATAGGTGTAGCTGCCTCTCTTGGCATTGGCGGAATCCCCGCTGCGTATTGCGATTATATGGCGCTGCTGCGTGCACATGTCGGTCCCCCTCCACCCCCTCACGGCAGAAAAACCTCAACGCGGAGTATCTCCTCGAACACAGCAGCAAAGTAAACGAATTTGTCTCACTCTGCGAAGGCTACAAAGTTAATGTTAGCAATCAGAGCAAGCCAGAACTGAAAAAAACATACAACTCGATAGAGAAAAATATGCACTACTTAAATAAACACATCGAGACGGCTAAGAAGGATAACATTATTTTAAAAAAAAAATTGAAAAAGTCAACAGACCCATTGTTCATTTCTACACTGGAGCAAAAGTATAAGCAAGTTTGTCTAGACATTGAAAATAGGAAGAAGGAAATAAAGTTCTTAAAAGACAGCATACGGAAGAATGAAAAGCTATTGGATTCAAATAAAAGGAAACCGAACAAGATTGCCTTGGAGAAGGAATACAAAAATCTGCTCAGTCAGCAGTCGACGCTGTGCTCTCGGCTGATACAGCTACAAAATGGAAACCGCCTCTACGAGGAGAATATCTGCAAGTAGGTCATCCCACCAAATAGATTGCAGCGGTGACGCGAGTGAGAAGATAGCGGTATAGTGCTTCCACTTTTTATCAATCTGCCATTCGCAGGAACACTCCAAAATAGAAACCCTGTCCTCTTATCCTATGCACAATTAATGATTCCCACTTGATCTTTTTTCTTTTTTTTTCCTTTTCCTGGTGACAGAATCGACGCCCAGCTGGATGAAATAAAAAAAAAAATGAACGAACTTAACATAGACAACAAAAAAAAGGAAGACGATGGCCTAGGGGGCATTGAAAATGACGCGTCTAAGGAGAACTTGGAGCGACGCATATTCATCCTCAACACAAAGAGGGACGAATTGAAGAAGGAAAAAAATAACCACATCAGCAACTTAAACGGCACACTGTCAAAATTAAGAAAGCAAATCTCCAATTTAGAGGAAGAAAAAATGAACTTGCTTAATGAAGAAAAGAATAACCTTGATAAATACAACATTTTGAAGAGGGCATTAAATATTAAAGGATTAAAAAACAACAGAAGTGAAGGGAAGGGAAAGGGGAAAGCTGCTTTGGTCAGACGGAATGTCACGGAGAAGGACGAACGAATTGATGAAGTTGCGACTCATGTACAGCTCGAGAAGAGAGAAGGCGAAACTGCTTTTCTAAATAACGTCCAGATTGAAGAGAAGAATTTTATCGAACAGTTACTGGAGGATGGAAACGACGACGAACCTTCCCATGAAGAAGTTGTCCATACGACACTGCCGGAACAGACGAAAGAAGACACGTGTGAGGAGGACCATCTCTGGGTTCCACCCCAATCGAAGAGTTTCGCCCAAGGAAACAAAAACAATGACTCGCAGAAAGAAAAAAGAAAGAAGAAAAAAATATTCATCCCAGAGTTTGAAGATGACATCCTTTTGAAGCTTGAAAAGCAGGTCACGGAGAAGCTGAGTCGAAGAGCGCAGGAGGAAGGAGCGACGGAGGAGGTGAAGGAAGAAATGGCAGAAGAGGTGACTGAGGAGGTGAACGAAGAAATGGCGGAAGAAGTGAAGGAAGAAGTGGCGGAAGAGGTGAATGAGGAGGTGACTCATGAGATGACTCATGAGATGAATGAGGAGGTGAATGAGGATCTGACTGAGGAGCCGAATGGGGACGTGAAAGAAGAAGTGGCGGAAGAAGTGGCGGAAGAAGTGGTGGAAGAGGTGAATGATGCAAAGGGTGAGGTGAAAGACAAGCAGGAGGAAGTAGAGGACATGCAAGAAAATGTGCAAGATACACAAGAAGAAGTAGCGGGTGTGCCCGTGGAAGAAGTAGAGGCTCTACAGGAAGAAATAGAAGGTGTGGGTGAGGAAGAAGCAGAAGCTGCACAGGAAGAAGTAGAAGGTGTGGGGGAGGAAGAAGTAGAAGGTGTGGGGGAGGAAGAAGTAGAAGGTGTGGGGGAGGAAGAAGTAGAAGGTGTGGTGGAGGAAGAAATAGAAGATGTGTGGGAGGAAGAAGTAGAAGGTCTGATGGAGGAAGAAGTAGAAGGTCTGATGGAGGAAAAAGTAGAAGGTGTGGTGGAGGAAGAAGCGGAAGGTGTCGGAGAAGAAGAAGTAGAAGGTGTCGGAGAAGAAGAAGTAGAAGGTGTTGGGGAGGAAGAAGCAGAAGATGTGAAGGAAAAAGTAGAAGCTGCACAGGAACGCACAACTGGAGACGCACAAAACGTAGCTGACGATGACGACGCATATGGAAGCCTCCCTGAGGACCTCAAGGACGAATTGAATGATGATCCCCCCGAGAGGCACGAACCGGTCACAGAACCTCCAGAAAGCGAACCCTCCTCCCCGCTGCAAAAGCGAAGCGACGGTGAGGCAAGCGAGACGAGTATCGAAATGCAGGAGGATAAAGAGCGATTGGGGAGTGTCATGTGGGACGAAACGAACAAATTAGACGATCCTGATGAAGAAGTCAAACGTGAGGATGAGACAACTGGTGAACCGGAAAAACCAGACCACGCGCAGGCATGTCTAGGGGAAACAGGTGAGGAAAACACGGAGTTGCACGAGATGGGACAGATAAATAGTGGTGAGGGGAGGCCCGGTGAGAAGGAAGAGAAAACACGGGAAGCGGAGGAGCTGTAAATTCCAACGAAGTGGACGCTGAACCCCTGGAAGAGGACGATGAACCCCTCGATGAGGCCGACTCCCCGGCAGATGATTAACCAAATGGGAGAAGTTTTGGGCAAAGACGCATTTTTCTTCCAAGCGGCTGCGTCTACATTCTCAGATCATCCAGTTTGAATGGCCTAAATGGGATTTTAAAAAAGAAGGGGGACATCCTAACCACCTTTGGAACACACCATTGTGCCCGCGAACATCACAGAACATGTGCACACATTAACACAGATGCTTACATGAAGGGGGACAGATAGAGTTATTTCCTCCTGTTTAAAAAAAAGGAAAAAAAAGGAAAAAAAAAGAAAAACTCTCCTCACTGTTTCGTGGCCCTTTAATAATGTACTTTTAAAATGGCACTTCTTTGTGTGCCCCAGGAATTTCTCTTTTCTGTTCAGAGGGGCCAACGGGTGCAGTGTTGGCTTCTCCACTTTAGCAATGTTTACTCAAGCACTTGGCACTTTCGGTGATGCATAAGCGACCTCCTGTGCGTGATGGATGAGCAGCCATGATTTACCTAACTGTGACCACGTGCCTCCACACGGGCCAAGAGGTGTGTCCTTCCTCCGCACGGGGTGAAACGTTCCTCATTTGACCTACTCCACATGTTTTCTCCACGCCTTCAAAATAGCGGCAATGTGGTTTGCAAAATTTGGGAGAGGGGGGGCAATTTGTTGGATTCGTCTATCCCCCCAGCCCAGTGTGCTTTCTACATGGAAAAGAAAAAAAAAAAAAATAGTAAAACGGAACTAAGCTGTACAAGCGAAACGAAGCGGGACAAAATAACATTTTTAAATAAACTCCCAGGCGACGCCTGAGTCCAATTGTTTACCTCTAGCGGTTTCTCCTCCGCAGTGGGCCCCTAAGGCAGTATCAGTAGCGCTGACAGTAGCGGTGACAGTAGCGGTGACAGTAGCGGTAGCAGTAATAACGTCGTGGACCTCTGGGTCAACGAATTTCATCTTGACACGACGTGACATCTCCTTGGGGAATCTGCCAAAGTAGATTCTTTAAAATTGCCAAAATTTCAGCCCCCGAAAATTGTCAACTTATCATTTGCCTGCCCTCGAAACAATGACGAATTATCGGAGGGCCTACCACGCTGGCTCCTGGTATTCTAGCAATGGTAATTTTGCACACGCCTCTGTTCGTGAGGGGGGGTTAGGAAGCCATGCCATCGTATTGAAATCCATACACAGTGAACGTTCTTTCTCCCCCCGGATTGACTTCCACCATTTCATCGCTGTTCCATTCGTCCATTCCCCTCGCCACCACCACAGGAAGCGCGCTGAAGAACTCCATAGACACCCTTTTCGAGAGCATAAACTGCAAGAAGCAAAGCGTGAAAGCGGCCATCTGCCCGTAAAGCTCCGTGAGGGTTGCATCTGCCCCAACTGGCAGCATATGGCGGACCCCCCAAGCGTGTATTCCTGTTCGGGAAAATGAGCGCAACTTTGCTGCTTTGCCATTTGCCATTTCCTGTTTCGTTATTTTATTATAGTTTTTTTTTTTTCATTCCGTGGCCCCCCTCAGGCACGCAGGATATGATTACGCTCTGAAAACGAATTCCCACGTTTATGCCTGCATCAGCATAGAGAATGTGTAAGTGTCCCCCCATTTTTGCGCCGTCGTGAGGTGACCATCTTACTGAGTGGTACACACCTGGCAGGTAACACTTTCTCCTCCTCCCCATTTCCCCGCAGAAAGAACATTTTCATCCTTGGCCCTAATCACCACATTTACAACAAAGGATGCCTGTTTCCCCACGTGGAGAGATACGAAACTCCATTTGGCTTCCTGCAAATAAACAAGGAGGGTAATATCTCGTCACATCCACGCCGAGCATCTGTTCAGTGATCCGTTTGGTGCTTCTTCATTTCTCTGCTCGCATTGCCACATATTCAGCCCACCCCCGCACTTGATCACACCCCCACCGTAGTCATTTCGGACATCATGCAAAACGACGTAGACCACTTGTTTGACTTCATCGGAGAGGAGGACGACGAGGAGGAGCACTCCATAGAGATGCAGTTGCCGCTGATCAAATACATAATTAAGGAGTAACCGTTTCGGCATGGGCAACCGGAAAAAAAAAAGAAAAAAATAAATAAAAACAAAAAAAACAAATAATAATAAAATAAATAAGCATAAAATAAATAAATGTAACAAAATGGAACAGAAAAAATCAAGACAGCCACCCTCACTGCTTTTCATTCCCCCCACCCGCAGAAAGGACATAAAAATAATCCCTATATATGTCGGCTGCATCGGAAATGATATCCAAAAAATAAATCGCTTCTGTACGACAGGGAGGGAGGGGCGATGCGCACAAATAGGCACCTGCCAGGACGTCCTAGCCGGACATGGAGCAGGACACACGTCAGAGTTAATCTCAGCATGAATGCTAATCTTTATGTTTTTTTTTTTTTCCCCTTTTCTGCGCAGGCAACCCCATAAAAAAATACTTCCAAGACGAGGGAAACCTGTTTCTGTTTTCGTCTGACTTCTGTCACTACGGGCGAAGGTTTTTCAGCGCTTCGGAGAGAGTGTTGTTCATGAGGAGAGCTTCGCGACTGTTGGGAATGCTCTGCCCTTTCCATCTTCGGTTCCCACTCCGTTGTTATTTCTCCCCCCATTCTGCTCCCCCCCTTCCACCAGATTCAGCTTCACCAACATTTTGCAAAAATACAACGACACGCACATCTTCAAGCAGGTGGAGGTACTCCGCCTGAGAAGGCCCAAATGTCCATTAGCCTTCGTATGTGCGTGTTAATATAGACGTGGCAACTGAACTAATACCTGTCTACCTTTCCCCCTTTTCACTGACCCATTGTAGAACATGGACCGAGACGCCGCCAATATAATCAGTCGCCACGACATAGCAGGTTCGTCCCGGTTAAGATGCGCGCGATTTAATCGTCCTGTTTGATTGCTAAAGGGCCACTTTACTGTCCCTTTTGCCTCTCCATTTGGTTCCATTTTTCCGCCCTTCTCAGACTTCATTGATTATCTGAACAAAACGCACAACACGATATGCGGGTCGAATCCGATAAAGATGATGCTGCAGGTAGGTGTTACCCTCGATGGATGCATCCATGTGTGGTTGCTCATTGGGGCGTCTTGTATGGCCCTACGGTGAAATGCCACCAGGGGGGTTCTTAACGGGTTAGTCCCTTCGTCGCCTCATCCCCTCCGTCTCCGCTTCCCCCCTCCCCCCACAGCTGCTGCAAGACTTTTCCGGAAGTGTGTCCACCAAACTGATGCACTACTCGCAGGTAGGGGTCCGCTCCACCAGTCGGGCTACCATCATTCACGCGCTGGACCATTTTTCATACGCCCAGTTTTACGCGTGTGCTTATCCCTTCCCATGCGGACACTTCTTCACGTCTGCTCATCCCTTCCCATGCGGACAGTTCTTCACGTCTGCTTACCCCTTCATATGCGCACCATTCCTCCCCAGTCGAACCAAGCGAGGAGCACGAACGATTCCTCCGTCTCCTATGCCGGAATGGTCTCCTTTATTAATTAATCATGCCTCTGCATGGACATATTGTGCGCCTGCCAGGAGGGGCAATTTTTTACAATTTGGGTACCCCCTCCCAAACGTTACATACACTCATATGTGTAGTACCCACTTCTGGGGAACAAATTCAGTTGGCCAAAGGTGCCCCGTTAACAAAACTATGTCTTGTTTTCAAATCGGACGATGCGGTAGCATTTGCAACAAAGTTCAAGGGAGAAAAAAAGATGGACTGATAAAAGGAAAACCAAATGTGGGTGATGCAGGGTGAAACTGCGACATATGGTACAAAAAAAATGAGAAGCAAAAAAGAGGAAGCAAAAAAAAAGAAGCAAAAAAGAAAGAAACAGCTCCCTTACATACACAATCGGATCAATATAACCGTTGGGGAGAGACGAACCCCCCGCAGTCGTGGCCATTCCGACGAAGGTGTCATCCGCCGCTCCGTACAGTCAAGAGGGTTTAACTTGACTGTTCGTCCGTTCGTTCGTTTTTTTTTTTTTTCCCCTCGCCCAACTCACTTCCTTATGTTTAGATTGTGCGTAAACGATATGTGCGTTATATTTTGGATGTCTCGTTTTTTTTTCCTTTTCGGTTTCTTCTTCTTATGCTTGGGTCGGTCCGCTTCCTCCTTCGTGTGTCGTGGTTCCGTTGCTTCACCTTGGGGTGTTCCTGGTGGGACGTGGGTCCCCCGCTGAAGTGCACGTGCCTGTTTGTCGTCCCCTTGGACGGTGTGTGGTTTACTCCTCAGGGGGTTGCCACTATCTGCCGCTTCAGCAGGACGCTGTAGGAGGGCATCATCCCCTGGGGGGCCTCGGCTGAGCATGTCCAGGAGTGTCTTCTGCATGACAGTGCCGCTACGCTGCTGCTGCTCCTTCGAAAAGGGACTCGTAAAAATCCTTTTCCAGAAAAAAGTTGGGTAGCTAAAGGAGAAGAAGATTTTTAGATAGTCACTGGTCCTGTTTTCTCTTTGCTGCGAATAGTATTGATGATAATGTCTCGATGAAATTAAAAGTCCCCGATTGGATTCGAAGTGGAAAAAAGGATTCATGTATTTATTTAATGAATAATCTGTATCGTGGTTAATGCTCGTTCCTGCTTTACTGCTATGCTCCAGCTGATGCTCACACTTGTGTCTCAACGTGACAACAATGCTGTATAGGTTACTTAACGGGCTGAGTAACTGCATGTTGTTTTTTAAAAAACTCTCCACAAAAGACAGCAAATTTAACGTCGTGGAAGAGGAATGTTCCGATATGTTTATATTTTTGAGAAGATAAAAAAGAATGCTCATATAATTGTAAAAATAGATTTTTTTTATTTTCTTAAAAATATATTGTATGTTTTTTTTTTTTTTATTTTTTATTTTGATGGCTGATATGTTCATGAGGAAATTTTTTGTCAGCAATAACTTGAGCAGATAATTTACGTTAATGTAGATCTTCGTCTTTTTTATGTCCAGGTTATATATGTACAGGAGGAAGTTCCCTCTTCTTTCGTTCGTCGGTATAGACAGGCAGCGCGAGTAGGCGAATGGCTCGAATTGGTTGAGGCTTTCCGCCTCAAGCAGCAGCTGCAGCACATGGTCGTCATGGCTACTATGCCTCCTGTGGCTGCCATTATTGCTGTGGTTTATCCTCGCCCCCTCCTCAGGGCCCACAAACCTGTAGTGCCGCCACTGCCTGCACAGGTAGTCGTAGCAAAGAGGCACGATGTTAACGAAGTAGTTATAGTCCAGGGTAAGACTCAGACTTGCGATTTCGATCGATAGGTTCTTTATGATTTCCCTTCGACTCCTGCGCAGCTTCTGCTCCTTTATCTGCTCGATGAACTGGACGAGGTTGTTTATCTGGTGGCTCGTCGCACCAGGGTTAGAGGCATCACCAGGGGTAGCGGTGTTGTTACCACGGTTGGAGGCGTCCCTATCGAAGGAACTTCCCCGTGAGTCCTTCCCCCTCTTATAAAAATAGTATGCACTGTACAGTAGCGCGTGTGCCCTATTCTTGGCAAAATTGTTCGAGTTCGCAATACGTGCAGCGTTCCTTTCGGAGAAGGTGACTCTTCTTGTGTTGGTCTCTTCCGCTAAGTGGGTTATCTTCCCCCTGTTCGTGGAGAGCCCATTTGAGGGGGCAACCCACTCGCTGGTCTGTCCCTGCCTGCTGCTGTTTCTTTGGTTGCCCCGCTTCCTCCTTCTCCCCCCGCGCGCTCTCTCCAAGTGACAACAAGCATGCACGATGTTCAGGCTGTTATAAATATGCTTATATTTCATAATCCTCTGTTTTAGCATGTCGATATTAACGCTGATGAAGCTTTCCTCATTATTGTACTTAGTAAGAATGGTGTGGCTGTTTCCTTCGAAGGTTTTCTTCTCACCCCCCTCGTCTTCTTTACTCACACGGATGTTATCAATAAGGATAAATACTCTCTGGTAAAAATCGGAAAAACTCATACTGACCACATGGACGTTGCTTCGTAACAAATCAAACAACTGCCTGTACAGATGGACGTTCTTCACGTAACTAAAGAACAGGTGGGAGGTATACTGGCAATACAGCCTACTCTTGAGTAATCGGTAGACGTCGTAAATCTTTGTAATGTTTTTTTTTTTTGTGAGAGTATAGTTTTTTCCTTCCATGTGGCTAGTCGTGTTTGTCTTCATCCTCGTTAGATATTCTGGCCTGCCTCTTCTGAGTAGCCTCTTGACAATTTTGCTTCTTCTCCTTAGTGAGCTCTCTCCCCATTCACCCGGCACATCGGACAAGGCGACGGAGGATGATTCGTCCATAGCGACTATATCAGCGCACTTCCCGTTTGGTCCCTCCTTTCCCCGAGTAGCACTCCAGTTGGACAATGCTACCACGTCGTTACGGTTACCATTACCGTTACCGTCATCGCTGGCCCGACTTGGGGAGGACTTCCCGTCCACCAACTCCCTGCCGCGAGGCGGCTGCATCCCCCATCGCTGCGGCTGCTTCGGCTGTCGTTCCTTTGGTTGTGGTTCCCTTTGCTGCCTGTGCTTCGACTGCCTCCCCACCTCGCAGAACCCTATGCATCGCTTCCTCCGCGCCAGGGATTTCCTATTGAGGCACTGGAAGGTGTAAAAGTTGAAGAAAATTTTGCTAAAGTGTATTTTCTGATTCATATGCATAGGGGCAATGGGCTCCCTCGATACGTCCTCAAAGGTCAGCAACAGATTAACGCTTTTAATGAAGATTTTAACGTTGATCAGGTCATTTTCGGTCAGTCCGTAGAGGTTGTTTATATAGATGACCCCTTTTGTGTCTTCCATGAGCGGAAGTCTTCGATTCGTATCATCCCGGTTGGATGGCGGCACACTTGGACACTCCCCTATGATGTTATTTTTCCATTTTAGGAAGTCGAAACAATAATCCAGCGAGAATACCTTCTTCACAAATTGGCACTCTCTGGATCCATTCACAATTATGTTGACTTCATTATTTTTGTTGAGCACAATATCGCAGTGGTGTTTCACAAGGTACAGTTCGTAATACACCATATGCGTTTCTTCTTCTCCTCTTCCAGTGGAGGGGCCGACCCCCCTAACTTTCCTCCTCTTGAAGAGAAAAAAGGAAAAGGAAAAGGACGAAATGAGATTGCAAACTAAGGAGAACTTCATCACGTGGAAATTCTGATCCATCTCCGCAGTCTTCACCAAATGGAGGTACTTCCTGACGGAGTGGTATTTTCTGATCGGCGTGTCATCTCCCAGCTTTAGTAACAATTGTAACGTCTTGTTTATTAGTACGAATTTTGGGAAAAAAAAAAAAAGGCATTTCTCATCCTTGAAGTGGATGTATTTCCTCTTTACAAAAAATAGGTGTCTGCTTTGGGCTGGGTTGATAAAGAAGGGGACGTCTAGATTGTTGTATATGTGGATGCTCCCCTTTTTGTTCACCTGTTCGTTTATCTTCTCTTTGTATTGTTTGAAAATTCGTCTCATCGTGTTCTTCTTCGTGAATGGAACCAGGTCGATGTTCATTCTGGTCAAGCGGTTGTATGCGTGCAGAGAGCGCTCGTACTCGCCTGAGGGGAGTGTTCCAAAGGGGGAATCCTCCACATGGGGGGCTTCTTCCACACGGGGGGCCTCCTCCATGGGGGTCGCTCCTCTGTCTTCTTCCTCCCCTTCCCAAGAAGTACGCTCCATCACATCTCTCCCATCATCGTTATTATCACACCTGTTGAGTTTTCTTCTTGCGGGAAGTTCCCTCCTCGGGTGGATTCCCCCAACGGGCTCACTGCTACCCCGTTTAAGCGGTTCACTGGTCCGCCCCTCTACGTGCCCCGACACGCGTGGAATTCCCTTAATAAAAACGTAATACGTTTTGTCCTTCTCTATAGTGACGATGTGAAAGAGCTTCTCCTTCACCACGGTCAGGTGTTGTTTATTCTTCGTGTAAATCTGTGCGTACTTGTACGTGTAAAAGTACGTGTCGCAGTTCTTGTGGATCCGTATGTACCTCCCCCTTACGTGTTTTGTCTTCACTACTCGAGGGATGTCCTTCCTCTCGTGTGTCTTCCGGGTTAACATTTTCAGCGCTCGCGCGTAGTTAACAAGTTTGGCGCTGTCTGGGCGGTTCACTGCGGAATTGAGCGAGACGTTCCGTTCCAGTTTCTTCTCCGCTGCTTCTTCGAGCGGCACATCGCCGAGGAGCATCTCGCCTCCTCCCCCCCCCTGCTGCCTTATTTTCAGGCTGACAAAGTCCCACGCACTTTTGTTCTTTATGTTTAGCTCCTGCACGCTCATGCTGTCCAGAAGGTTGGTGCGGTCAGGGAGTCTGTTGTCCACCTTTTCTTCGTCAAAGATGGCGGCGATTTTTCCCAGGTAGCTGCTTCCTTCATAATGTGCAATTGGTCTGTTGCTCCCCCCCAGGTCAAACCCGGAGTCCTCCTCGCTCGTAGGGGAAAAGGAGGAGTGTTCGCTGAAATTTAAGTCGTCGCTTTGGTTGGAGTTGTATAGAAGCTCTGACTGCTGCTGCCCCTGTTGCTGTCCCTGACGCTGTCTCTGACGCTGTCTCTGCCGCTGGCCCTCCTCCACTGCATCGTGCGGCTTGCACTTCACATCGAAGGTGTACTTTGTCAGGTTGACCAAAACGAGGTAGGGAAAAAATTGAATAAAAGAAATGCCGAAGCAGTGGAAGTGAAAGTAGTGAACACGCACCGTGACGTATTCCTCGTTCAGCTGTATCACCTTCGTGTAGGACTTATTTATTTCGTAGGAGACGGAGTCGTTGCTCATCGTTCTGTTGTAGCTATTAAGAGTGAAGCGGTGGTTGAAGCAGTAGTTTTTAATACACCGTTCGTTGTTGTCACTGTCATTGTCCCTGTGTTTATCCTTTTCTTTGTCTTCCTTTTCATTGTCTTCCTTTTTCCATTTCTTTCCCCTCTCTTCTATTTTTAAAACATCCCTGTTGATCGTGATGACTTTCCTTTGCATCACCGGTGAAAGCAGAAGCAAATCTTCCTTCAGTGCAGTGTACGTTTCTTTCAGACTATACTTCTTTACTTCGCACTGGAAGTTCAGATCGTCCAGACAATCCTCCTCGTCATTCAGCAAATAATACTGCAGGACGTTTCTGGTGTAATTCATAATGTTGTGTTTGCTGACGATGGCTATGTTATATTTCTGTTCGTGCATGTATATGTAGATAACAAAGTAGAGGCCGTGAAATTTGACGATTTCAAAGAAGACAATTTTGGGGAGAGCTTTTACACTTGAGTGGTGTTCTGTTTGGCTGTCACTACCGGGGGTGGTTCTGCCTTGTCGAATTTCACCTCTGTTTGCTGGAGCGAAAAAATCCTGTTTCACTTCCGCGCGTGCAAAATATGCCTTATTGTTTACCTTAAGAAACTTTATCCACTGGCGATAGAATGACAGACTGAAGTTAAGAATGAGATTGTCGAGAAAGCAAAAGTGATATACATTCACACAGTCGAAACTGCGTAAGCTGTACGTTTTGATTCTTCCCTTTTCTCTCTTTAACAACACATTGATATTGAATGGGGTCAGGTTAATTATCTTCATGCAATTTTGGATAGACACGACATGTAGGTTTTTTTTTAGGAGATGCACGACGCTGAATATTTTGGAGTACTTGGCTTCTTCTGCGTCGCCTCGACTGGCGGGATGCACTGGGGCATTCCGCGGCAGGTGTGCCTGGTTGAAGTGGACGCCGTTTACCCCTGTTTCGTTTAAGTGTATCCCTTTTACCTCTGCCCCTTCTATTTTCATCCTCCTCATGGGGTTCGTCTGTTCCGTCTCGCCGCTCGTCTTTTCCGCCCCTCCGCTCCTCCGCTTCCTCACCAAAAAGAAGAAGCTGCAGTACAGCACATGGACGCCGTCGTGAATGTCCCTAAAGAAATACCTTCGGAGCTTCAAAAACTGAGAGTATCTCATTTTGTTACTCACGTAGAGCTTATCCTTGTGCATCTTCACCACAAGTTGGATGAATTCGCACCGTTTTATAAAATGAAAGGGGATGCTGAAGGAAGTTTGGTTGTCCTTCACCACGCACGTGTTAATCGTGTTGGCCTTAATGAATTTTAACTTCAAATGGAGGAATTTTTTTTTTTTTTTTTCTTGTCCCCTTGGGGGGTTGTTGTTCCCCAAAATGGATCCCCTCACGATTGCAGAAGCGTCTCGCTTGAGGTACTCATCGAATAGGATTTTCACAAAAAAATAGGGATACACGTATATACACTTCTTATTGTCATGGATGCCCACGTCGACGTGGAGGTAGCTCTTCTCATTAAGTGTCTTCTTATGGTGTGGATCCTGCTGCATCTGGGGGTGTGTGTAGGGTTTTCCAAAGTGGGATCCGTAGTGATCACCATTGTTGTGGCTCCCTCCTGAGAGGTAGTTGTTCCCTTTGAGAAAAATCTTCCTCCTCAAGCTGGAATCGTCAACCGTATAAATGAGGAGGAAGAACAAATTGGCACACAGAATGATGCTGTCCTGATTCTTCTTCACCATCCCAACGTTTCCTTCATACTCGTAGGCCAAGTTATACGGAGTGTAATTTTTTATGATGACGAATTCTTTGTTGAACTTATTTTGGAAGGAAACAAAATTGCGCAGGTCCCTAACTGTCTTGATCTTCTCGTTACTGACCTGACTGGAGAGTATACACTCATGGTAGGCGAAGTGCAAATGAGAAAAATGGTCTCTGAATAGGAAGATCAAATTTATTATCTCTCTTCTGATAAACATGTGGACGTCATTTTTTATATACATCCAGAGCTTCTTTCTCTTTTTCTCATCCATATTGAAATGCACTGACAGATCGAATGAATCGACAAAGGAGATTTTCCTCGAGTTTTTAAATAAGAAGTTCTTCAAATGTTTTACGTCTATGGAGAGTGCATTCATCTGCTTCATGTTTAGGACAGCCTGTATCTTTCTGGTCTTCCCCTTTCGGCGTCTGCTTCCCAGGGTCAGCTGATTATTCACACTGTTTATGGAGAATAGCTCGTGCACGTACCCCAGAGTTAGGAAAGACACCTTCATCGCGTCCACGTTGATGTGAAGCTTGTTTGTCGTTCGTGTGAGCGGCTGACCAGCCATCTTCCCACCACGCGTACTGCGGTGCTGACTGCGGCGCTTACTTCCACTATTGGTTCCCCCCTTGCGGAACTTGGACGAGATCACCACCCCACGGTAGCTGTACCTGCACGTGTACACCTTCCCCTGCCGGAGTTTCCTCCCGAGGGTCTCCAAATCCTCCACCAGAAACTTCAATATCAGCAGGTCGTTGTTGTTCACGCCGATGGACACGCTGCTAACAATTAGGCTTGCGCAATTCTTCGTCACTTGCACTTTTGAGCGCGGAGCGGTTTTTCTCCCGTCCTGATCAGCTTTGAAACTCCTTACGTGGGTGTCTTTACCCTGAGGAGTGATAACTCCGCTGACCATTTTGCCTGCGTCATTCCTACGGTTAGTAATAAGCGGTTCGTTCGGTTGGTTCGTCTTCTGAGACTGGATGGCCTGGTTGACCTGGTCTGCTTGCTTCGCTTGGATCGCTTCATTCGCCTGGATGGGCGCATCCCTTCCTCCGCTTCCCAACCCAAATGGGGCATTCCCCTTGCGGGTTCTCCCATAAGGCTTGCCCTTCCTTGATGGTGCCAAATTGGAGAGGGAGTTACTAGTAAGGGGGCTAGCCAAACCCCGCCCGGTACTGTTCCACTTCGAGATGAAGGAAAAGGAAGCAGTCCGCTTCAGCGTGGTGATCCCTTCTTCCGATGCTGCTCCTTCTGATATGTTGTTCTCATTCAGGGATGCGAAACTGGGTGTGAAAAGTCTGGGTGGCAGATTCTTCCCCCCCTTATCCAGCAACTTCATGTGTAACGACTCTCCTCGATGAAGTCCATAGTTAACTTTCGTGCAGAAGCACAGGATGTTCATCACCTCCACGACGTTGTAGAGGCAGAACTCTCGTAGGGGGATGACACTGATGTGCGGTTCGTCCTCGTCCTGAAGGGAATCTGGATTGTCACGATTCGAACCTCTGCCGCCATGTTTCCAATCTGTACCCCCCTTTTGCGGCCTCTCCATGCACTCGGCTGCCATTTCCCCACAACGCCGCAAATAGAATTTCCGAACGCCAATCAGGCTCAAGTACACCTTGTGGTGCTTTCCCTGGTTGGTTGAGATGTCCACTTTCTCAACCCGCATGACATTTACCGTGCAGTGCGTAGTTAGGGGGGCGTGTAGGAGGCCGCACTTAACTCTGAGGTGCAGCATGGATATGTTAAGGTGCGTCTTGTTGACGTTAACGAGGGTTCCTTTCTGTGCTTCTCCCATTTTTGCTTGATTTTCCCCCTGAGGGGCATGCTTCCACTGCGTCTCCTTCCATTGCTGCGTCTCCTTCCATTGCTGCCCCTGCATGTGGTGGTCATTCCTCCGAATGGCTCTCTTCCTTCTCGTTTTTTTTTTCTCCACGTCCACCTTCACACTGGTGTTGAGGACCAAATCGTACAGGAATATCCTTCTCTTGATGTTCCTATCGGGATTTTTTTTTTTTTTTTTTCTGCTTCACCAAGTAGACATTTTTCCGTTCCACTGCTCGTTCATCACCTAAATAGGACGGATGATGGTGCTTCACCTCCGGGGGGTTCACATAAATGTATTCTTTCTTTCCTTTGTCCCGTTTCTGTGTTACAGTGAAAAAAGAGGCTTCCCTTTTCCTTTTATGCAACTCTCTTGTTCTTTCCTGACCAAACACTCTGTGCTTGTCTTCCCTCTCGTGCTTAGCTCTGCTTGCTTTTCTTTTATCACCACTTTCGATGCGTCCACTGGTGTAGTCACGTCTCGCTTTCTCCTTCATGAGGCTCATATCGTATAGAATCTGATCTCCACTCTCTTTAACATCATCCATAAGGTAGGTACAAGCAGACAACAAATGAACATTGAGGTTAGCAAAAGATATCTTAAAGTGGTATGAAAGATGAGGTTGTTTTTCTTTTTTCCTGCCCTGTGTTGCTTCACCATATTGTTTCGTCTTTCTGGGTGTCCCAGCTGAGAAGAACTGAAACGCTCTCCACATTTTGGACGTGCTAACAATTTTGTGCAACTGGAAAAGAGTATGCATCGGGAGGAAGAAACAAACATCTCTGTATGTGTGTTTTATGATCAGATTAAGCGCAGGGTCTCCTTTCACCGCGTACTTCACATGCACAGTCATTTTTCCAGTTTGGTTCATCTCGTTCCTCATGGCGATCATTTTGGCTCTCCCTTCTATGGACTCCAATGCACTCCATATGCAACGAACTGTGCTTCGAACAGCGACATCTCCACGTCTGTTAACAAATTGGATGGTACTCTTCCTCTGCACCTCCCTATACTTCCTTTCGTAACAGGTAACATTGGTGAAGTAGTCCTTAAGTAGGTCCCTCCTCTTAGTAAGTGCTCTCTTCAAAACGGTTGGAACTTCAGTTGGGGGAGGAGTAAATCGTTTTGTGTTCCCTCCCGTTGAAAGTTGCACCCTTGCTTCCTGCTTCCTATCCTGTGTGTGTCCTAACCCTTTAATGACTATCCCGTCATTACTCATAACAATGCTACCTTTCCGTCTGCTTAACACTGCTTCTTTTCTCTTTACATGGTCGATAACTTGTCTCCCATTAGTTGGGAACTTTCTCCTGATGAGCAACACCTCCCTGTTGTTGTTGCTTCTGCTGTTGTTGCTGATGCTGCATTGCTGGCTGATCGGACTGACCCCTTCAATGCACTTTATCCTCCTCTTCAAATTGCCCACTTGAAAATTTAGTTTTTTTTTTTTTAAAAAAAATATGAACATGTTCATACAATTCTGGTAATTTCGCCTCGACAAGGAGTTAAACATTTCAAATAAGTACACCTTCCCCTTTGCATCAAAATAGTCGTTGCTAGTGAATAGGAGCAGTTCTTTCAATTCGTGTAGGTACCTAAAGTTGTGTGTCGTCTTTTGTTTGCTTCTTCTGCTCCCCTTCCTTTTGAGCTGCCCATTGAGGCCGCCTACGTACGTCCCCAGGAAGGCGTTCTCTCTGCCCGTGTGGAACATGAAAAAAACATTCTTTAGTTTGAAGCTGACGGATTTGAGCAGCGCATCCAGGAGGGGAAGGGGGGGGGGATGGTCACTCAGCTGCTTTCGGAGGACACTCCTCTGATTGACCCATTTGCTCACTCTGCCGGATAAGCCGATTCCCCTCTTCTGCGTTGCCTTCTTCGCCCCCACAAAGGGGCCATTTCGTGAGTCGATCCCTGGTCTGCTACCTCGCCGAGGCTCATCCTCCCCTTCTGCGGATCGCAACCTCTTCACTCTGTGCTTGGATTCCACTGTGCGGATGATTCGCGCGAGTCGCTTGCCTGGCATCCTGGGCCATGTGCGACAATCTGGGTTCTCACGTGCGTCACGTCCACTTCCATCGCGGCTGCCGTGTGCGATGCCATGTCTGATGCGACTCTCGATGCCACTCCCGACGCCACTTCCACCGTCGTACTTGCGCAGGAGGCGCTGCGCCTTGGCGCCCATCTCCACCACGCACGCATAGAAATTAACCAACGAGACGACATTTCCCTCGTTCAGGAGGACGCTGAGGGAGGAGTTACGCGCTACACGTCCATCGTCCCCCCTCTCTCCGTTACTGCTGTACGATTTTAGTACCGTCTTTACATACACTTGGTTCGGTTCGCATCCCCCCTGCGTTGGCGAAGAACGGGACGCATCACCCCTGCGGGTGTTTATTCTCCTCTTCAGGCATCTCAACATCCTAAAGAGGAGCCGAACTTTCCCTTTGCGCCGAGAGCACGTTATGGAAGGATAAGGCAAACGCGGGAATGGGTGATCCGTTCGATGGGCGAAGTTGGATGTTCCATCGGGGGCGACGTTGGATGATTTATGGGGGTAAAACTTGACTGATTCATCGAGGGCACAGCTGACAGGTCCATCGAGGGCACAGTTGACTGATTCATCGGGGGCACAGTTGATTGGTCCATCGGCTCGCCTCCGTCCCCTTCTACGCACTGTATCTCCGATCCTCCTAACCGTGTACACACCTCTTCTGCGCACCTTCCTGGCAGGGAGCTCAAACCTCACTTGATTCCCTAGGTACAGATAATTAGACTGAAAAATGAGAAACTTCTTCTCATCATCTACCCCTTTCAAAAACAAGTGGACGTCGCGAAGTTTACTCTTCACGAGACAAACCACTTCTAAGACTTGTCTTCTCTGAGTCGTTCCTTTCCAATTAGGAGTAAAAACGAATGTCCCTTTTTCTGTTTTCAATAGAAGTTTTTCCTTCTTCTTCTTCCTCCTCATCTTTAGCTTCCCTCTGTTAGTTACTTCACCTGAAGAGTTAGCACCTCTACTTTTGGTGATCCCTTCCTCCCCCAATGGACGTACAAAGTAGGTGAAGCTCCAGGTGACCCTATCTACACCAATGTGTACCTTTCGAACTTGGAAGAGCGTTCCAATCGGTTCATACCACAAGGGTATGTTCTTTCTTCTGTTCTCTTCCATTGGGTAGACCTCTCCCGCGGTCACTCCATCCCTGGTGAGCCTCCCCCCACGCTCATACTTGTTCCCCCTTTTTATAAAATCTCTCACCTCCTCAGCTGCGCATCTATCACTCGTCAATCTGTCAAGCGGAAAATGAGTTCTAAAAAACGGGTTCTGGAAGCTCTCCTTAATGGCTTCAATGTACCTTTTTAATGAATCGAAGAAGCTCACATGTGAAGATACTCTGACCCTGTGACTGTTCAAATAAATCACCATGTTCAGTAGGTCCGAAAGGATCAAATTTATTCTCTCGATTTTTACCAAGACGTTCCTTCTCTTTCGTTTGTTCGTTCTAGCGTGGGGAGCACTCTGTCTGTGGGGGGTATATGCCTGCTGGATGTTCACCTCCCTGGAAGCTTCTCCCGATGCCTCTCTCGAAATTAGTCTACGTTCCGATGCGTGGCGGCATGGAGCAATGGGGAGGGGGGCCGCGCTGGTAATGGGGGTCCTGGAAATGGGCCGCTTCTCCGCACCACCTGCTTCTTCTCCCAGCTGGTTCGCCTCCACTACGATGTACCTCATTACAGTGGTTTCCTTTACAAACATGTGGAAGGCCAATTTACACACGTAGAAATGGTGCCTACTGCGCGTGGCACACCTCTTTGCGAGTCGTCTTTTCCCCTTTTGGTATGTTCTTTTTTTCCCAAGGTGGCTTTGTATGGGAGGAATTTGGTGTGCCTTTCCTCCGGGGGAGGCTCCCATCGCTTGTTCTTTCTCATAGGTATTCTTTTCCGCTTCCACGTCTGCTAATTCTTTCACTACTTCCCCCCATTGTTGCCCGCTGGACTCCTTCACCGTTTCGATGCTCACAAGGTGACTCCTGAACTTCACGATAAGGCAATTTGTCTCGATCTTAAAATGCTTCCTCGCTGCACCGAGGGAGAGTCGCTGCTCCCCGACCATGTCCCTCTTGTCCATAAAAAGAAACGAGCAAGTAATCCTCTTCGCGATGAAATAGAGGATCACTCTTAACATTTTCTTCGTAACAGATCTGTAGAATGTGTTGTTGTTCCTTCGTAGCTGAAGAAGGTGCGATTCGGACGGGAAGACATTTCTGAGCGAGCGTTTTATGAGATGATTTGTTCCTCCATGATCAGCTTTCCCCCCCTGCATTGCCCCAAGACGCACGTACGCGTAATACGCCACGTTCAGGAAGAAGTCGTGGACGTACAGGTCCAGCCTCTCCAGGTAAAATGCAATTATGTGCCTGTTTTTCACGCCGTGTTTTTTAAGCTCCCCTGAGTGGGTCAGATGACACTGGTGTCTTAGGGAGAGCGCGGGGGAGCGGCAATTCTGCTTAGAGCGATAGCTCGGGTAGGCCCCTCTAGTGTAACTTCCTTCGCTTTCTTCCCTTCTTAGAAACTTCGCAACGTCCCCCGGGATGCACCCATCACACGGCCTCAGCCTTACAATGTTCCTTTCGCCCCCGGGGTCAGCAAGCGAGTACACCCTCACCCCCCTAAGGGACTCGAAACGAAAAGGAACAGAACGGATATTAAAATCACAAAATGAGGCGAAATCGCCTATGTACAATTTGTTCTTAAGGAGGTAGGCATTTTTCTTCTTCGTGGCGAGAAAATGAAAAATGGTCCTCTCCGATTTGAACTTAACGTGAAATGCTTCGATGTACCTCTCTGTGCCTTTCGACTTGTCCAATCGGTTCGACCTCGCTTCATCCGATTGGAAAAAAGTGAGCACATTCGATATTTTTTTTTTCTTCCTCTTCTTCTTCCGCTTCTTCCCATTGGGTGTGTCCTCCTTGCATAGGAAGAGGAAGAGGTTCACATGACGGCAGGCAAATTTTACCTTCATGTTAATAAAAAAATTTAATACGTATGTAACGCTGAAGGAGGAGGTTACATAAGCGTCTTCCTCATTCGTCTGATTCGCCACTTGGTCATTGTCGAAAAAGACTTCCAGTGCCCCGAAGAGGAAGTTCAGTTCTGCCTGCATCGGTATAGCGGCCTCCTTTGGATGGATTATCATTGTTGGTATGGCTTCACTTTTATCGCTTCCATGGGGGTAACGCAGCAGAATTGTTTTCGGTGGGAAATATTCCCAGGGAAACTCCTCCGATGTGAAGTACACAGCTGCGCTGTTACTACCGTTCATATTGCCTCTCCCCCTCTGCGCATAATCCTCCTCGTCCCAGAATAATCTTCTTAATAAATTCAAAACGCTGCTGTTCAGCTCGACGACTAGCGAAATGATCGAAATGTGAAGTCTATACATTTTGGTCCTATCCAGAGTGAAGAACAAAGAAAATGGGAAGACCAAAATGTGTGTGCTTCTTTCATGTTTTACATAGGCATATATATTTGCTATTCTGTAGGTTATATTGACATGATTGTGGGTTGATTTCCCCCTTGTCTTTAATCCTTTCGTTAGGAGAGCATCTCGACTTGTCTGCAACTTCCGCATTGGCTTCTTCCTTACATGCATGATGTTTTTATTTGTGAAGTGTAGGAGGGTATGGTCAAAGCAAAGGAACAGCGTGGGCGCGCGCAGCTTCGTTAGTTCCACTTTGATGCGTTTAATCTGCGTGTTTATGTGAAGGAGCGATGGGCGGGAGCACCCCCGTCTGCTGCTACTCGTCCGATTGGTACTGTTCCCATTTCTACTCTGCGCATTGCTACTGTGTGGCTTCAAACTGTTCCCACTGCTAATGTCCGGATTATGAGGTGGCTTCTTCCCACCGCTGACCCCCAAATGGTGATGCAACACAAAGAGGTCCCGCTCAAGGAGACCGCCTATCAGCACGCAGAACCTGTCGAACCGACTGACGACCAGATTGATGCACTCAATCTGTATGCCTATGCTGTATTGGCTTGGTCCGCTCTCCCCTCGTTCGCACTTCCTATGCACCTGTGCGATGAGGCAGTGTCTGTTCTTCCCCCTTGGTGACGCACTGCAGACGTAGTATCGCCCCGCTAGAGCGGCGGTCACATTGGCGTACTCTGCGCACGTGGCGCCCAGTAGGCCGTTATAAATGACCTTCTTGAACGCATAACTTTTTTTTGTGTTGAAGCGAAGCAGATCCTCCTTGACTTTACTCACGATAAGGGACAGACTCGAGTAGGACTCCGTGACGGAAAAGGAATCCATCGAGAAGGTCACGTTCTGCAGTATGAGAGTTTTCACCGATCCTTCCTGTGTTGTACCGCGACACGCCCGACGCGCCCGACACGCAGCCAGCAATGGAACCCGACTCTCCTTTAGCGCCAAAAAAAGATCCACGTTCCTGCAGAAACAGCAAAGGGAGTCATCCCCCCCACTGTACGCATAATCCACTTTGAACTGTTCCATGTGGAAGTTCACCTCGAGCAGTTTCGTCCCTCCGAAAATGGGGGCACTTCCTCTTCGATGCTTACGACGAAAGTTCTTCTGCACTGAGGTGACCTCCTTCTGGCGTGACCCCAGCCTCGTTCGCGTCCGCTCCATTCGCCTCCCCTCCGAATGGAAGCAATTCCCTCCCGCAATGCACACGTATTTATACAGAAACAAATACAAAGTGTATACCGTATCATTCGAAAGGGCAAGTTTAACGCTCGGGGTGACGACGCTGAGGAGGTAACTCTGGCTAGTCCTGTCCTTGGAAACATCACAGAGCAGGTTGGTCTCCTTCAGGAGGCACTCCCTCTGATGTGTTACCTTCATGTTATAAAAGAAAAAGAACTTGTACTTAAATTTGTCCGCACATATGTCGCTCCTACTGATGTGTTGACTTCTTCCATCTTGATAAACGCTGAGCTCTCTTATGGTAACTCTGAATAGGTCCAGGTAGGAATTGCTGTGCTGGGTGTCCCCCTCATGGGTGTAAAGAATCTTCTTCCCATTTGTCATGATGTTTCCATTCAGTTTCACTTCCATCACGTTGCTTTCCTCTTTCTCCCTGCTTAGGATAAAGCTACAATTGTCCGCGTGAAGTTCACTGATGTGTAGAGAAAGGAAGATCTTTTTCTTCCCATTCAATAGTGTATCTTCGAAAATGACATTCACGTTTTTTATGTCAAGGGAGAGGATGTATTTGGTGGCTATTTTGCAAAGGATTTTTTTGAAAATCCGGAGGAGACTCCCTTTTATGAAGTTATGTGTGATGTACTTGAGGAAGGAGCAGACCATGCTGTACAGCATCGTCTTCACGACGTTGAGGAAAACAATGGCGAGGAGGAGAGCGACGAGGGGGAGGCTCCTGCTAATCTCCGCGGCGTCGCTTCTATCCGGAGTGCTGCTACGTTCACATTCGTTTTTAGCTCTGCCCATGGTGTCTCCAACCGTGTCGCTCATCGTTCCGCCCGTCGTTCCGCCATCCCCCTCTCGTCCTCTCTCCGGCTGGCCTGCGTGGGCGCCCTGTTCCTCCAACTTCACACTCACGAAGACGTTTTCCACCTGTGCGGTCAGACCAATGTAGAAGCCTGAATCACGCACATCGCCAGTTCTGCTTCCGCTCCTACTTCCAATGCTTCTTCTGTTGCCGATTCCGCTTCTCATTCCGCTCCTACTTCCGGCCCTGCTCGAGGGGATGCCCCAGTCCACCTCCACTTTACCCACGTAGCAAATGTCAAAGCTCAGTTGGTGCTTCCTGTCGCTGAGAGAATCCAGGTAAGCCAAATACTCACCGAAGGATCCCTTCTCTTTACGGTGTTGCTTCTTCCTCGTTAGGAAGCCTTTCCCTCTGTGTGTCTTGCTCTCCCTATTTGATTTTTCCCGTTCTGTGTATCTCACCATGCCATGAGGTAGCCTAACTGTGAAGGGGGTCACTTCTAATTCTTCCAAAATGAAATGCTTAATGCTGTTCATGCAGATATGCTTCATCCCCTTAATGTATTTTTTAACTCCGAGTCTGTCTAGGAGGTACTCCAAAAGATGCAGTAGAAGCGCCATGGTGTTAGTTCTCCTATCGGTAGATGCGACGTGTGCTTAATATTTTTCCTGTGGAGCCGTCCTTTTCTTCCTTGGGTCTACTTCGCCTCTTTGCCTATTCGCCTCTTCGCTGGTCCCTAACTGTGAGGCTACTTTTCCTTCCTACCTTCGGAGAGGAGTTGCACATTTGGCCGATTGACTCTTCCTGCTCTTGGCGCATTTGCTTTCACCAAAAAGGGGGGGCAGTAGAGTCATAAAAGGAAAAATTCGTTCTGTATTATCCGCACCTGTGCTGGTTCTTCCCCTTCCTCTGGCTCTGTTGTCACGTTACACCTACAGCCCTTATTTCCCTCTGTGCGCTACTTATATCGCTGAAATGACGTCCCAAACAGGAAAGAACCATCCCAACGAGAAGGTACTCTGACATACTTCTTTATGTTGTAGCTTGGGCACAGACGATTACAAATGAGTGGTTACAGATGAGTGGTTACAGATGAGTGGTTACAGACGAGTGCTTACAGATGAGTGCTTACAAATGCGTACTGACAAATGACTGCTTATCAACCGCGCCACTCTGCGCGTGGTGTAGCTCGAATAGGAGGCCGTTCGCACAGTCACTCGCGAGATGCGTCATGCACACACAAGTTCGTCTCTCCAGAGGGGGACTTGTGTGAGGCGCGATAATGTACAAAAAAAAAGAAAAAATAATAATAATAAATAATAAAGAATAATAATAAATAATAAAGAATAATAATAAAGAATAATAATAAAGAATAATAATAAAGAATAAT